TTAAAACTGGCCCTGTGTGTTTGCGTTGAGGGCTGGACAAACATCCTATTACATAAATAACAATTCAGTAAAAAGCAATTATAATTAGTGTAAATTTTGTTTAAATATAAATAAGTGCACGAAGCAAGTACTTTAATAATATATGATCTGGCATGCTCTTGAGTAGAGTAAATGACTTCTCAAACTAAGACTTATCGCTAACTTTGTGTTTTGTTGTATTGATATAGAGTGCCTTTACACCTGGCCTGTGCTTATGGACATTCAAATATTGTATCTCTCTTAATTGAGAAACAATGCAAAGTAAGTGTGTGGGATAGTGAAAACAGATCTCCATTGGTTAAGGTGTGTTAATTTTTCCTTTTCAACTGGAATGTGTTTGAGTTCTTTTTGTAGTTAACTTTTCTTGAATGTTGTACTGTAAACATAATATTCAACATTAGTTTAATATATCATATCCTGAGTAGTAAATTGGTTTCTTACCTGTTCTTGTTGTACTGACAGGCAGTACAGAAGGAGAATGAGATTATCAAATACTGATATAGTTTTTCTGTTTCAAAAGTCTTTCTTCATTTTGTTTCAGATTATAATCCTGACTTCCAAAGCAACATCATATTTAATAGTGATAACTGTTCAGAAAACGGAATGAAAAATATTTGATTTTCCTATTAATGAATATTGATTGAAAATCATAAAGCCTACTTTTTTTTCCCTATTTATACACTTAGGAATAATGGTAGGAGTAGGGTTAAGTTAGAAAATAACTTACAATACTAAAAGTAATCCAAATCTCCTATTGAGACGTTATGGATAACTGATGAGTATTTTTTAAAACTTTCTAACACTAGCACTGATATTTTGTCTACATAACAGCCCCAAATAAGTGGCAGCCTTGGAGGTTTAAATGAAACTCTATGGGAGTCAAACTGTCACAGCATTATGAAATGTGAATGTATGATTGGCAATACTTACATCAAATGCTAGGCACTCATCACGCAAATAGTCCAGGTTGTTCTTGCCCACATTTTGAAATTAAGCCTAAAGTTGAAACTTTTCTTTTTTGAATGGCCCAACTCCAATTTATGTTCTTGGTCTTTGAAATTATATTTTGTTATGTATCAAGACCTTTTAAAAATTAAAGTGTATATCAGAGGTTACTTATGAGCACACTCTTAACTTAAATGTAAAAGGCATGTTAACATGGTACAGTATTTATAATCTCTTTGAAATCATGTTTTCAGGATGGGTACACTCCACTTTTACTTGCCATTACTGAAAATAATGCAGAAATAGTAGAATTTCTTCTGAAGAGAGGGGCAGATGTAAATGCTTTAGATAAGAATCAAAGGTATGACTAATGCTAAATAAGAACATATAACTATAACTACCTAATGGGAGTTATAAATTGTTGCTTTTTTTTTTAATTGGGAAATTGAGGGAGGGGAACAGTGTTAGGGAATTAGAGAAGGGGACTAGCTAAGTTGTTGTTCTTCAATCTTAGTTGTGGAGGGCAGCAGTCGCCATCTGGTTTCCCGTAGGTAGCTCTTGGTCTCTAAGCTCAAGGTGCTGAGTTCAATCTTAGTTGTGGGTGGGCATAGCCCACCATCCAACAGGCAGTCTTGTTGATAG